CTCTGCTTCCCATATCTAATCACCTTCTCTCACGACCTCCACCCTCTTTCTCCTCTTATGACACAGGATACATCCAAATAACCCACAAATACTCTTCCCATCTCTAGATCCCTAACCTGGCCACATTTTATTTCTTTTTAAAGATTTATTTTATTTATTTGAAAGACAGAGTTACACAGAGAGGTAGAGACAGAGAGGTCTTCCATCCGCTGGTTCATTCCCCAGATGGCCGCAACAGCAGGAGCTGTGCTAATCCAAAGCCAGGAGCCAGGAGCTTCTTCTGGGTCTCCCATGTGGATACTGGGGCCCAAGGACTTGGGCCATCTTCTACTGCTTTCCCAGGCCTTAGCAGAGAGGTGGACCAGAAGTGGAGCAACTGGGACTAGAACCAGCACCCATATGGGATGCCAGAGCTTCAGGCCAGGGCTTTAACCTGCTGTGCCACAGCGCTGGCCCCATAACCTGGCCACATTTTCAAAGTCCCTGTACCATGGAAGATACCAGATTCACAGGTCCTGGTGATTGGGAAGTGGGCAGTTTGGGAACCATTATCCTATCATTGCCATGTGAGCTTCCAATCTGTAGATACTTTCACTTTGATTATGGGAACAAGCAGCAGAAGATGGCCCAAATACATGGGCACCTGCACCCATGTGGGACACCTGGAAGAAGCTTTTGACTCCTGGCTTTGGTTTGGCCCAGTGCTGGCCATTGAAGCCATTTGGGGAATGAACCAGCAGATGAAAGATCACTCACTCTTGCTTTCTTTCTCTCCCCTTCTCTCTCTGTATCTCAGCCTTTAAATATTTAAATAAACAAATAAATCATTTAAAAAAAGTTAAATTAGTCACAGTATGAGATTAACAATAGCTAGCAAGAAAATAATTCTAACAGTATACTATAATAAAAGTTGTTGAAAACGTATGAATTGCTAGTCTCAGCTGTCTGAAACTGTACTTGGCCTTCCCAGCTACTTGAAACGCCCTTTTCTTATCCATTGCCTGTAAAATGTATACTCACTTCATTTTTTTTTTTTTTTGACAGGCAGAGTGGACAGTGAGAGAGAGAGAGAGACAGAGAGAAAGGTCTTCCTTTTTTGCCGTTGGCTCACCCTCCAATGGCCACCGCGGCCGGCGCATCGTGCTGATCCGAAGCCAGGAGCCAGGTGCTTTTCCTGGTCTCCCATGCGGGTGCAGGGCCCAAGCACCTGGGCCATCCTCCACTGCACTCCCGGGCCATAGCAGAGAGCTGGCCTGGAAGAGGGGCAACCGGGACAGAATCCGGTGCCACGACCGGGACTAGAACCCGGTGTACCGGTGCCGCAAGGCAGAGGATTATCATTTCATACTAATCCTCACAAATCTATGGAGGGATGGATTTGATCAACTCTTCACAATAGATGGACATGCAGGCCAGAGCATTACCTAACTGGCCCCAAATCAAGCAATTCATGACTGGCAGCACTGTAATTAGACAACAGGATGCCATCCAGCCCTCCTTCTAGAGTTTAGTGGGCTGCCACATTATTAGGATCCACTGATCTGATTGTTTTAGCTTTTAGTGTTCTCTTGAATCCCTCCAGATTTTCCTTGTTCTCTAAGGAAACAAAAGTAAGATTTTGCAGCCACCCCTGACACCCCAGTGTCTACACTCTCCAGATAGAAATCAAAGTTGAATGCTCATTTAAAATTGCAAATCTGTGCATGTAATTGTTAAGTTCTCTACCCATATCCTGGTCTAAATCCCTTTAATGAATGACTTTGCACTGCTCTTGGGATGATCATAATCTCTCAAAAACAAAGATGAGCATTTAGCACAGTGGTTAAGTCACCAGTTTGGAACTCACACCCTACATTGGAGTGCTAGGTTTTGAGCCCCAGCTCCACTTCCAGCTCCAGCTTCCTGCTAATAACGTGCTTCATGAGAGACAGCAAGTAATGGCTCAAGGAGATGGGTCACGGATACCCATATGGGAGACCCATATTGAATTCCTAGTGCCTGACCCTGCCCAGGCTGTTTTAGACATTTGGGGAATGAACAAGAAGGTAGAAGATCTGCCTGTCAGTCTCTCTGCCTTTCAAATAAATAAAACTAGTAAATGAATAGTGTACATGGGCTTACTGCTCTGTTCCCTGCCCTTCTGTCCAATGTCTCCTCACTCCAACCCCTCTCAGTCCCAACTCCAGCCACAGTGGTTTCCTTTCTGTGCCTGGAATGCACCAGATGCCCCACCCCCACCCCAGGGCCTTTGCACATGACTCTTTCTTTGCACACATTTTTTTCCTGTCTTCTTGGCAAAGAAAATTACTTATCACTTCTCAGATTTCAGTCCAAATGTCATTCCTTCAGGGAGGCCAAATTTGAATACTGGTGATCTGTCTATTCCAAAAAGCCAAGTTTTTCCCGCAAATAATGCTGCCTCTCTTTAAACACTGTGCATATAATCTGACAAGAGAAATACAAATAGTAAAACACATAAAGAGTATCTGATGGAACAATGTCCTTTTAAAATGAAGAAAATTGGCCCTTGTAATTTGGAAACTACATGTTTGTCACTGGGCATTTGCAGATGACAGCATGATCCAAAAGCCCACCCTTAATTCTGCTGTTCCATTTCCTGTATTCCTTAGACTTCTACTGTATCCTGTATGGCACCTAGCCTGGCACTCAAACTTACTAAAGTTTTTGTTTAAAAGATTCATTTTATTTATTTCAATGGCAGAGAGAGAGAGAGAGAGAGACAGAGACAGAGACAGAGAAAGAGAGATCTTCCACCACTGGTTCACCCCCAAAATGACCACAATCATCAGGGTGGCAGGTGCCCAGGTACTAGGGCCATCTTCTGCTGGTTTCACAGGCACAGGCACACTAGCAGGGAGCTGGATTCAAAGAGGAGCAGCCAGGACTCAAGCTGGTGCTCATATGGAATGCAGGCATCACAGGATGCAACTTAATCCACTGTACAACAATGGTGGCCCCCTTAGTAAAGTTTTAAAGTATACTCACTATCAGATGATTAATTGATGGGCAAGTTCCACTTATTGCATATTTTTTAGGAAACAGGTTGGTAGTTTCTTACACAACTAAACGTACAAATACCATTCAATCCAGTAATTGTACTTCTAGTCATTTATTCCAAGGAACTGGAAATTTATGTTCACCTAAAACCTGTACAGAATATTTATGGCAGCTTTATTCATAATGGCTAAAATCTAGAAACTACCTAGATATCCTTTATCAGGTAATTGTCTAAATGCTCTGGGGTACATCCACTTCATTGATATATACTATATGATTTCATATGTACAATGTCTTTGAAATAATAAAATGCTAGAAATGAAGAACAGAAGCGTGATGGCCAGGGGTTGAGGAGGGGATGGAGGTGAGAAAGAGATGATGTGGCAATAAAAGGACAACAGGGAGGTAATTACAATATTCTTTCCTTGACTGTATCAATGTCAATATCTTGGTTATAATAGTGTGCTATAGATTTTTAAGATTTACCAGTGGGGAAGATGTGTAAAAGATACGGTAAATCTCTCTGTAGTATTTCTTACAACTATATATGATCAACAGTTACGTCAATTAAAGATTAAAGGTTTTTTTGAAATGGACACATTCAATAAAGTATATGGGACACACTGAGGTGTTCACAAACACATATACCTATGGTGCCACAAAATTTCTTCTTTCCTTTTTTCTCTGGTGGTTTTGTTGTTATTTCTGTATTTTTTAAAGATTTATTTATTTATTTATTTGAAAGTCAGAGTTACAGAGAGGCAGAGGCAGAGAGAGAGGTCTTCCATCCACTGGTTCTGCAATGGCTGGAGCTGTGCCAATCTGAAGCCGGGAGCCAGGAGCATCTTGCGGGTCTTCCACGTGGATACAGGGGCCATCTTGTACTGCTTTCCCAGGCCATAGCAGAGAGTTGGATCAGAAGTGGAGCAGCTGGGACTTGAACTGGTACAGGCGGCAGCTTTACTCGCTATGCCACAGTGCCAGCCCCTGTATTTATTATTACTAAGGATTTTATTTCCTTCTACTTCTGATGGACATGATATTGATCATTTTGAGGCTGTTTTCACAATGGGTGCCATTTATTATTTTAGAACCCTTATTCTGTAAGTCCCTCTGTGGCCTTTTATACATAGCTCTGAATTTTCTCTATCATGACCAAGATACCACTTAAAGAACTACTGGTTTGTACTTCAATATCTGGCAGTTCTGCAACAACAAAGTAGAATAGTATCTTCATCATTTCACACATAGGAGAGTTTGTAAAGGCAGCACTCTGCCCCCTGCTACCTCAAATCTCCTTGTCTGGTTCTCAAGGTTCATGAGCTCAGTGTTAGTATTGTACTTCAACAAGTGGCCATTGTTCAGAAACCTTTGATGATTGGCTGTTGATCAAATTTATCTTTGGTCCTTTTCATCTTGCCATCATTTCTTTGCCAAAGTTTAATACATTCTGCTGCTATCACCCTCATTGGATTCCCACTTTATTTTTTGTTATCTTTGCCTAATGCAGTTTATGTTTTGAATTTTTTTCCCATTTACTGGAATAATTTTAAGTGTCTATATTGTGATGTAAATCCCTGATCAGAGAACACATGCCTGCTATGGGAGGCTTATTTCATTTTATTTTCACTTTATTTGAAAGGCAGAGAGACAGACAGAGATCTGGTTCACTTCCCAAAGCCTCCAGCAGCCAGGGCTGCACCAGGCAAAAGCCAGAGTCAGGACACAATCTGTGTCTCCCACATGAGACCCCTATATTTGAGCCATCATCTGCTGCTTCTCAGTGTGCACATTAATAGGAAGCTAGATTCGAAGCAGAGGAGCCAGGACTTGCACCAGACACTCAGGAAATGCAAGTATTCCAAGAAGTGACTTAACCACTGTATCCCTAGAGTTTTGACTAAGGAGAAAGCAGGCTCAGTTCAGCATTTTATTCATTTTTCATGCTTTCATGTAAACTTTCTTTCTGCTTTCTCTTTCAGTGACTACAGAAAAAACCCAAGAACATACCACCAAGCAGGTATTTTCTTATCATAAAATGTAATATAGACTTTTGTTTTAATTTTTACTAATTAAACATTTGTAAATGTAAAACAAAAGGGTATTATTGGATATGAGAATAAACCAGTCACATGTGGATGAACACACACTTTCTTTGTCTCCCTCTACCCCAATCTACCCAAAAAAATGGCAAACAATATACAAACAGAATCTTCCAGTTCTAACTTGTAAGTGTTCTCCTGATCATATTGTTGCCTCTGTATTGATACTATCATGGCAGCAAACAGAGACTTCCATCTGTGACTCTACTCTGCAGCTTGCTCCCAAATAGCTAAAAACTGAACCCCTATCAGTGGAAATGTACCCCCAGTTGACTTTCCATTGACATCTTTCATTTCTACTCACAGTTAGCCAACACCCTCCTGTGTACTTCACTACCTTCTTACTTTTTATATTTTTGGTAGACATAGTCTTGGACCCATGATCACACATACAAACCAAGACTGACCTTCACTGGAAGCCTGCCTTACCCCTTTCTACCTTCTCTGTCCATAGGCCACTTTAGCTGCTATTTCTGCACATGCTGCCTGTGCACTAGATTCCAAGAATGCAGACACTGGCCTGGAGCAAAATATGTTCAGATTTCACTCACAGATACAAATCTGGATGTCTGTTTTCTTCCTCCTCTGGCATAAATTATAACTCGTCCTTGCCAAGGAGAAGAATGGTAAATCTACTTTTGCCCAAGCAAGGGTACATTTTTCTAGTGTACTCCAAGAGAATTTACAATTCTAGATCCCACTGTTAATGCACCCAAAGTTTAGGTTAGGTTCTACCAGATATCCTGCAAATCATCAAGCTTTGAACATGGTTAACTCACTTGACTAATATAATATACCACAGATTTAGTGGGCAGAATTGGAGGTCTCTCAGGCATCATTTGGCTTTTGAATTTAATTGTAAATGTTGACTTATAGGAACACCCACTTTTATACTTGAAATTGTCATCATTGTGTAATAGCAAAATCAGTTGGCCTTTCCAAATAGTTTATTTGCCTTCTGAATTTAGTTTCTTTATCATTGTGTTTTCAACTATTTGTACTGGTATGTACTCAAGGTAGTTTCATAACTGCAGTCGAGTTTATTGGTGTCATTTTTATTTATTTAAGTCACATAGGGGATATATTTCCTTATAAAAATACCTATTTATCACATTAATGTAACATGTAAAAGCAGTTGGTCAAAAATATATTAAGACCACTTCTTATGGGCAAATTTTCATTTCCATGTCTTCCTTACTTTTGCATTTGGCTAAACTAATAGAACATACAGACACCAAGACAGAACAGCAAATATGTACTGAAAATCTTACGCATTGATTTGATGCCAGATAAACGTATAATAGTTTCCATTCCCAATAACCAGGTGAAATTCTTTGGACTTTAACATATGAGGGAAGAGCCTTCATATTTTGTTTATACAGTCATTTCCAGAACAGATAGTTATATTATGCAATCGTTGTCTGCCAGCTTATGTTTCTAATCCTTTAATGGAATTTCTATTCATTCTCCCAAGTAAGGAGGTACTCCCACACTGAAGACCGCACTGGCAATACAATTCAAAGAGGCATCATACACCTTTAACTTCTCTAAATTCTGCAAAGAGTCATCACCTTTTTTCACAACACTGGCACCAAAACAATCTGGCTCTTGAAAAACATTTTTGAAAACTCACTTTGGATAATCAATGTGGTATTCTTTCTCTGAAAAGAATGTAAAATGGAGCACTGCTGAGTGCTAATCTTGCCTCTAAATCCTTCCCACGAGGCACCAGAGACTGTGTAATTACACTGAAATTGAAAATCAAGTCCTTCTTTTGTTTCCATTAGTCAGGCTATGAGCTGTGCACCAGTGTGAGAATCAGGGTTGGAGTGGAGGGGAAGCTCTAGCCTGCTGGCCAATATCCAGTGTGTGTTTTTAGACCACAGCTATTTTGCCACACCTGAGCTCTGAGAACAACTATTTGAGCCCTCTGGAGGAAATGCTGGATGCTTTCCTGTGTGATTCACTGGGGAAATTAGTATGCTTTTCAAAAGTAACTTGTTAACGCAGCTTGTTTACAAGAAGAGGACAAAAACGTGCAGTGAACTGTTTGGCAGCTTATGTCCCATTCTGGGATGAATGCATGGCCCATTTTTTTTTCAGCTGTCTCTTTGGCAAGTCAATGCTATAATAATTTACTATCTGAAAAAAAATTGTTCCTTGTAAGCACTGAAATCTTTAGGTTTTGGGAATAATTTTTGAAATGGTAGATTAAAGATAATTCCTTACAACACTACCAAAAAATTCTTTCACAATGAAATTAAAATATGGTCAGCATGATAATGGGAAAACTGAATGTAAAAAATTTTTAATTTAACTTTTGGAAACTACTTTGTTAACCATTGAAACTTAGAGTAAATTAATCCCTTCTGTTTATGTCTTTTCCTATAGTAGATCCTTGAAACTCAGTGTGAAGAAAATGTCTGGTGATTGTGCAATTAGGTGACAAAGAGGAACACTAAATATGTAGGACTATTTCATGTTCATCTCGTGGAGAATATTCACAATTCAATGACCACTCTGAGAAAACTTTGTCTTCATTTATTACCTTATCACCACCAGCATACCAATATAACTAAATGTTTGTTTCTTAGCACTATCAGAACTAACGGTCAAACTGTGTGGCTTAAAACCACAAAAAGTATTGACTCACAATTCTCAAGTCCAGAAGTCCACAATCAAGTTGTCACCAGGGCCAGGCTCCTTCTGAAACCTTTAGGGAAGAATGCTTCCTTGCCTCTTCTTTGCTTCTGGTGGTTGCCAAAAATCCCTGGCATTCCTTGGCTTGTAGTCTCACCACTCCAATCTCTGCCTATGCCATCACATGGCTGCTCCCCTCCCCCAGCATATCCCTCCTCTTTCTGGACAGTCTCCAGCCATGTTGGCTTAGGGCCTACACTCATAACATGATGACTCTGTAAAGACCCCATTTCCAAATAAGATTACATTCATGGATATTGGACTAATAATTCAACACATTTGTTTGGGGGACACAGTTCAATCCATAACAAACCAGAACCTCAGACATCTACACTCCCTCCATCCTTTTGACTACTGAGCACTTTTGGTGTGATCTTTGCATGCCTCTCCAGTCCAGCAGCTCCTCACCATGGCCCCTGCTTCAGTCCAGGCTCCACTTCCGTTGCTTAGTGGCTGCCCAAGGCTCTCCTGTCAGTCTCACCACATTTCTGTTCATCTTTCATTCTGCTGAGGTTTGCTTTCTAAATAACAACCTTGTATCCCTTCTCCATTGAAAACAAATTCGAAAAATCTCCCCCATGTTTAACAGCAGTTATTAACCTTGCTTGTGCAATGCAATCTCATTTTAAATTTATAAGCACAGATCACGAAACCCCAGCCCCAACTCCAGGCCCAAGCAGTTCTAGATGGGTAGTTGTAGAGAGTTGGGTCCAGACATAGCACATCCATTAGACCAGACCAGGACAGTCATGTGCTTTACATGGCTCCAGACATCACAAACCCAGCAATACAGAGATGTGAGTATTTTTTTTTCCTTCTAGGTCTCATGTTTAATAGTTTTATATCCAATTGAGCACACATGAAATCTGGTAGAAAGACATAGCTGCTGAATTGGGCCCTTTGTTTAGACAGGGTAGGACTGGACTGGGACATAAAAAGCACAGCTTGTGCTTGGCAGATCCAGAGAAAGAGGCTGCTCTGGTTTCGCAAAATGAGGGGATAGATGGACAGATCGTGTTCCCCAGGAAGCTGTACTCCAGGCTCCTGCTGGGTTGGGGGAGGGGTGAGTGGAATGGATATATATAGTTTTGGATAGGGCTTAGAACCTCCTGGCAATCTGTAGTCAGAAAACTGAGGCTTGAAATAAGAGAACCTGCTCTGTAGTCACCTGGAGACCTGATTGAGGCATTCCCCAGCCTTGATGGGGGTAGGGATGGTCACTTCCCAGGAGTTCCCCAGCCGGGTTCCAGCTTCCACCCTGCCCTCTCCTTGAAGATATATGGGACCACCTAGGGAATCTAGTTGGCAGAATGGCTTTCAAGAAGAGAGGCCTTTCAGAGCAATGAAGCAGGCCACAGACCTGGGTGGGAACAAGGACCAAGTCTTGGGTATAGCCCCCTCTAACACTGAAGTATTTGCACATCCATCTATACTCCTGTTCTAGGCCCCACCAATACTGGGGGCAATCCCACTGGACATCTACAACATTAAAAACTCAATATATGATTCTAGTGATTTAAGATTTAACAAACACATGCCTGCTGTCTACAGAGTAAATTCCTAACATTATGAAATCCAAGGCCACATGATTCTGTGCTTGGTTGGTGAAGATACTCCCCACCATCCTAGACTTAATTCCCGCTCTACTCTTTTATATAAAACTTCTGTGTCCTTTATGAAACAATTCCACCAACATACCAACCTCCTTCTCTGCATGTGCAAAATTTACACAATGTTTTCCTTTCACACAGTTAAAAAATAAATTCTCCCTCTCCTATGTCTTGTTCTATTTTGTCTGCTCTTTTGCTTTAGACGTTTACTTTTTCTACTCTATAATCTAATCATTTATATCCCAATATGATCGTTATGACTAGATAATATCATAAAAAGGGTGAGGTTATATTTGGTTCATCTTTGTATCCAGTCTTAGGCCTTGCAAGTCATAAGAATGCTACTTATTGCTACTTGAAAGTAAGCTCTTAAACCTACTGCATCATTATCCTAGCTGCTAGAGAGATTGCTAAATTTGAGCATTTTACACATTCTTGTACACTGGAATGTTCAAACCTGATGTGTCATTGATTCTTGTAAGAGAGTTACCTGGTATTGTAGTCTAGGTAAGGAATCCAAACCAAAAGCAGAAGGACAAGTCAAGACTGCTTATGGTCCTAGCAATAGTGATCACACAGTCAGAGGGTGGAAAGAATAAACGTTCAAG